ATATTCAAGGCTAGTAGAGGCATCTTTACGAGTTGAGTTTGAGTAATTTCTTCGTATATAGCAAAAAATTCGGACGAAAGGGATCTACTTACTCGTTTGGCACACAAGTTTACGAGGGTAGTTCCGATACATACTATGTTCACCCAAAATTGTACATTATCAGTTATTTCAGAAAATTTTTATTATTTTTTCTTTTTGGGTACAATAGTGCAAATTGTTTCCTCATTTTGTCCATAAGAAATGTAGTTCCATGATTCTTCAGATGTAGTACCCCCAAGTAACCATTCGGGTCTTTTGCTGTTAAAACTCTTATTTAGAAACATTGGCACATCCAACAAGTTTTACCACTCGGTAAATGGTAAGCAGGCAAATGAGATGACTTATTAAATGCATGTAAATTCATGGTTTTTACAGCTTCAAATGAATTCTGTGATGTGGGAAACTTGGAAAAAGACTTGAGAACCTATGTGTTGCCTTACACTTCCAAAGCTTAATTTACTAATAAAAAAAATCTAAACTAATAATTATATCAATTTAAATCGTTAAATTTCATAAATGTATTAATTTACTAATAATTCCACACATGTAAATGTGTGGAAATTTATAATTTTATTAATTAAATTCTTATGTTGTCGCAAATTAATCAATTTAAGTATTCAATTTGACTGAGAATGTAAAAAATTATGGGGTTTTTATTATAGAATAGTTCACCTCTTTCATCCCATCTTTACTCTTCAAACTTCTTTTTTGAGAACTGTGTAGAATCAACGAAAGTATTTTTTTTTTTTTTTGTTTAAACATAGAGAACATAAAATCTACAAGTTAACCCCCTTGCAAAAGTGACTCCATGGCCCAATGGATAAGGCGCTGGTCTACGAAACCAGAGATTCTGGGTTCGATCCCCAGTGGAGTCGCCTTCGCAATATATGTTTATTTATTCTGTTTCGTCCTCGTTTTATTTTAAATTCAATAATGTAACAAGTGATACTAATTTCAAAAATGACTCCATGGCCCAATGGATAAGGCGCTGGTCTACGAAACCAGAGATTCTGGGTTCGATCCCCAGTGGAGTCGCTATCGATATTATATATATTCTTCATTAGTTTGGCATTCGTTTTTTAATTTAGAATTAATAAATTTTCAAGTAAAGCAAATTTCAAAATTGACCCCATTGGGCTGACTCACATATTATTAAGAATTAATAAGCTTATTATTCACATATATGAAAAAAAAAAAAAAATTAAATGCAACCCTATTCCTCACTACTCGGTGAGCTTACTTTTAGAGTACAAGGCGGAAACTTATATATTATTCTATATATCTTTTTGATCTCGCACTGATAATAGAACCAGGAGACTAGCTATAGCTCTTGCGCGCTTCTCTGCTTACTCCACTTCCCTCGTGCGGTATAGAATAGCTACGGTTGTTTGGTGTCTCAAATTTGTACCAAGAGAGAAGAGAACTTGCTCGCGCTTTCCAAACCCTGGACTACTGTGATTACCAAAACAAAGAAAAGTAAAAGAAATAAAATTTGCTTACCATTTTTATTTTGAATCCCACAAAATTCGTTTAAGATATTAGAGTGGTGGTTTGACCATGACAACAATCGGACTCCTGACCTCATGGTCCAGGTCACTCCATATTAACACCGAAGAAAGTACAATCTTGGTTGGAATTGTCCCTCCAACCACCGTCACAACAAAACTCTTCTTCTCATTCAAATTTCCAAACCATAGTTTCTGAGGCTTAACACTCACACTAAGTTTTTCCAATGACTTCAAAACATTAACTCCAGAAAACGACAAAATCTTCGATCTATAAGTTGAGTTCGCAACCCCAACATTAGTCACAGTTCTTTGAAACTTAACCACAAATGGTTTCATCGGTAGAACATGAGCTACCATTGCAGGGTAATTCAAATCTCGAGCAAGATATTTCGTCCAAGTTTTCGGACAAACACTATCGTTTCCTGCAAATGCTTTCATCGTCTTTGAATCATACCCCTTTGCACATAGCATATTCAAGTGATCTTTTTCAAAAATTTCATAAACAAGCCCGGGTTCGATTGCTCGATCTGGATCGACCAAACCCGACCCGTAAAGAAATTCACGAATTAAAATTCCATCCGTACGAACGATTTGTTTAGCCGTCGTCATGATGGCTGATTTGATCGCTGCCGGCGACCAATTTGGATGGAAACTCTTTACATAAGCGGCGACACCGGCGACGTGGGGACAAGACATGGAAGTGCCGGACAGAATCGAAAATTCGACAGATCTTTTGTCTCCGACATTGCCGGAAGGAGCCGCGATCGGAGAAAACGAGGCGAGGATTTCGACGCCGGGGGCGGCAATGTCGGGCTTCAAGATCTCCAGCATCCACATGTTGGGGCCGCGGCTAGAGAAATCGGCGATCATCGGCGCGTGAGGATCTTTAGTAGCGACGCTTCTAAAGATCGTGACATTGGGATTTGTTGCAGAGATTGCGTAATTTGCAACACTTTTATAATCCGCCATTTTCAAAGCGATTGCAGGGAAGGGAAGAACGAAGGAAACATTGGCGGCATTGTCGTTAAGAACAATTGCTCCGGCGGCTCCGGCGTTGAAAGCTCTGGAAGCGCCGTCGAAGGCCTTACATTGAACGATCTTCCCTTTCACCAACAATGGATCCAAGCAACCATCTCTGCAAATTTCTGCATTTTTTGATGAACAGTTTCTGGAAGCGTTTGTTGCGTAAATTAATGGAACGTTTTGGTTTGGAGCGAAGGTGTTGACGGAATACCCATTCACGGTGTTTCCGTCGCCGAGAACAACCTTGTCTACGATGGTTCTGTCTGTGTTGGTGGCGGCGACGGTGAACACCCACGGAACTACACTTCCCACTGTTCCGTCCTCCGGCCCATAATTTCCGGCGGATTGGACGGTTAAGATTCCTTTAGCCATCGAGTGGTAAGACCCAATTGCCATCGAGTCATGTTCAAAATTAAACCCACCAGCTCCGACAATTGAAATCGTGATAAGATCCACGCCGTCGGCGATGGCGTCGTCAAACGCCGCCAGAATATTCTCTTCTAAGCAATCCGGATTGCAAGCTTTATAAATCGCTAGTCTCGAAGAAGGAACTGCTCCCCTGGCAACTCCGCCGGCAAGTCCATAAAAACCAGTCGTTTTCCCTGATTTTCCGGCAGCTGTAGAGGCGGTGTGAGAGCCATGGCCGACGTTGTCTCTGGCGGACATGGAGGTGTAAAAACGAGCTCCGATCACTTTATTGTTGCACGTGAAATTCCCTCCTCCGGTACATGTACCTCTCCACCGCGCCGGCGGTGGACCTATACCCTCGTCGTTGAAGCTTTCCAATTCCGGCCAAATCCCCGTGTCGATTGACCCAATTATGACGTCAGTTTCACCGGCGAGATTTCTTGTGGGTTTTGCAGGGAATCCCAAATAATCCCATGATCTTGTCGTCTGGGTTTTGAATACCTTACTTTCGAAAACAGAGACCACGCCGTCCATGGCGGCGAGTTGCTCTGCTTCACCTCCGGTGAGTTTCGCAACAAATCCATTAAAGCTTCTTCCATAGCTACGAATGTAAGAACCTTCCATTACGGAAGAGGTTCCAATCACCGAACGAAGAAGATTCAAATGGTGGGTCGATTCCGCCATTGCTCTGTTTTGGACTGCGCCCATGTAAACAATATGAGCTTTTCTTTCCGACCCATTTGCAGAGGTGAAAATGGCGGCTAAGAGGGCGGCGATGAAGGAAAACAATATGGGAAAATTTTCGGGCGCCATTTTTAAGAGCTTCGGTGCAGAGATGATTGAATTTAAAATGAAGGAAGGGATGAATGCGAGGGAAACAGAGTGGCGCTGCCATGAATGGTAGGGAGATTATCGTTCCAGAGAGGATTTGTTAAGCGGACATTGGAAATGAATTGAAAAAATAATGAATTTTTGTTTTCAATTTTATAAATTAAAGAATATTTGTACATAATTACTCATATTCCACGCAGGTTTTATTTTGACTTCATTACCACCACCGTTAACCATAACCTGTCCTGATTCATCCTTATGCTTACGTCATTATTCTTAATAATTAATATTAAGAAATTGGGCTTTCATCGGTCCAAGTGCTATCTGGGCTTTCATCGGCCCAGTTAAGACGTAATTCTTAATAATTAATATTAAGAAATTGGGCTTTCATCGGTCCAAGTCTATTTGGGCTTTCATCGGCCCAGTTAAGACGTAATTCTTAATAATTAATATTAAGAAATTGGGCTTTCATCGGTCCAAGTCTATTTGGGCTTTCATCGGCCCAGTTAAGACGTAATTCTTAATAATTAATATTAAGAAATTGGTCTTTCATCGTGGGCTTTCATCGGCCCAGTTAAGACGTAATTCTTAATAATTAATATTAAGAAATTGGTCTTTCATCGCGGTCCAAGTCTATTTGGGCTTTCATCGGCCCAAGAAAGACAAGGCATCAATAATACTGAAATATAAAAGTTCCGTTGCCGGGAATCGAACCCGGGTCTCTTGGGTGTTACAATTAAGAAATTGTCCTTTGATCAGGCTATTTGGGCTTTCGTAGGCCCAATAAAGACAAGGCATCAATAATACTGAAATAAAAAAACATTCCGTTGCCGGGAATCGAACCCGGGTCTCCTGGGTGAAAGCCAGATATCCTAACCGCTGGACGACAACGGAATTGTGGCTATGATTAAGAAATTGTTATTTGATCACGTTATTTTGGCTTTCATCGGCCCAATAAAGACAAGGCATCAATAATACTGAAATAAAAATGTTCCAATGCCGGGAATCGAACCCGAGTCTCCTAGGTGAAAGCCAGATATTCTAACCGCTGGACGACAACGGAATCATGGTTGTAGTTTTAATTTTAATATAAAATCAATGAATTATCCATTTTCATATAAAATTAATGAAGTTTTGAAAAAATGTTAAATCTAACCGACAAAATAAAATAAATTGTGGTTAGCATTTTTATTTGGAAGTCCACGTCATTAGTTTGAGGTAGGGATAGGTGGTAATTTAACGTTCACGACAATTGGACTTCTAACCTTATGGATCCCGTCACTCCAAATCAATGCCAAAGAAAACCCTGTCCTCGCTGGAATCGACCCACCAGCGACTGTCACCACAAAACTCTTCTTCTCATTCAAGTCTTTAAATGTCAACTCTGGAGGCTCAACACTTACATTAAGCTTTTCGGATGACTTCAGAACATAAACTATAGAAAACGGCGAAAACTCTGACTTATAAGTAGAGTTTGCAGTTCCGACATTGGTCACTGTTCTCTGAAACTTAACGACAAACGGCTTCATTGGCGGAACTTCAAACACCATTGCTGGGTAATTTAAATCTTGCGGAGAGAATTTAGTCGAAAATCTCGAACAATCACTCTTGTTTCCTGAAATGCCCCTCACTGACTTGGAATCGAACCCATTCCCACACAGAAATTTCAAGTAATCATCTTCAAAAATTTCGTAGACAAGTCCGGGTTCGATTGCTTGTTTTGGATTGATTTGACCCGACCCGTGAAGAAATTCCCCACTTAGGAATCCGTCGGTATTGGTAATTTCTTCCGCCGTCGTCATGATGGCCGATTTAATCGCCGACGGAGACCAATTTGGATGGAAGCTCTTTACATAAGCAGCTAAACCAGCAACATGGGGACAGGCCATGGAAGTGCCCGACATTATTGTGAAATTGACAGTTCTATTGTCGCCGGGAGTGTCGGAATTTGGTGGTTGAGGATTAACAGAGGCGAGGATTTCAACTCCGGGGGCGGCGATGTCGGGCTTCATGATCTCCGGCAACAAGAGGTTGGGGCCGCGGCTGGAGAACTGAGCGGCCATTGGAGCGTAACCATCTTTAATGGCGACACTTTTGAGGATTCGGACATGGGGATTTGGTTCAGAGATTGCGTAATTTGCTACTTGTTCGTAAGCTGTGAAGTTCAAAGCGGTTGCAGGGAGAGGAACAATGAACGAAACATTGTCGGCTTTGTCGTTGAGAACAATGGCGCCGGCTGCTCCGGCATCGACGGCTTTGAAAATTCCGGCGAAGCTCTTACACTGAACAATCTTCCCTTTCACCAATTTTGGATCTAGACAACTGCAAACTTCTGGGTTTTGAAATGAACAGCTTTTGGAAGCGTTTGTTCCATAAATCAATGGAACATCCTTGTTTGGAGTGAAGGGGTTGATTGAATAGCCGCTCACTGTCTTTCCATTACCAAGAACGATCTGGTTCAGAATATAAATAAAACAGTGTAAGTAATCCGACTTATCACCTTAATCAACGTGAGACTCTCTCCAATAATTCTCTCCTCGAATAAAGTACACTATAGAGCCTCTCCGAAAGTCTATGTAACCCTTAAATCGCCCCCATTTAATCAAGGCTCGACTCCTTTGTCTGGAGCCCTCGAATAAACTATACCCTTTGTTCGACACTGAATCACTTTTGACTATGCCTTCGAGGTTAGCAATAATCTTCCCCTCTGAATAAAGTACAACATAGGGCCTCTCCGGAAGTTTATGTAGCCCTTGAACCACTTCTCTTTAATCAAGGCTAGCAACTTTTGATTTTATTGACATAGTTAAGTTAATAGTGTGACTTTGATACTATGGTAGGAATCACGACTCTTACAACAGTATGATATTGTCGACTCCGAGCATAAACTATTTAAAAAAAAAAATTTGGTATGAGTGAGCAAACCTCGTCTACGATGGATCTATCCGTAGTGGTGGCTGCCACCGAAAACAGCCAGGGAGCTACACTTTCCACCGATCCGACCACTGGCCCATCATTTCCGGCGGACTGGACGGTCAGGATTCCTTTAACCATGGCGTGATAAGCCCCAATGGCAATGCAGTCCACTCTTAAATCAGACAAATCGAAGCCGCCAAGTGAAATGGTGATAATATCGACACCGTCGGCAATGGCGTCGTCAAACGCCGCCAAAATTTCCACATCTGTGCAACTCGGACTGCACGCACTATAAACCGCAAGTCTTGAAGAAGGAACGGCTCCTCTCGCAACTCCGCCGGCGATCCCATAAAATCCGTCCGTTGTCACTGATTTTCCGATCGCCGTGGAGGCAGTGTGAGTGCCATGGCCTTTGTCGTCCCTCGCCGATGAGGAGGAGTAATAACGAGCTCCAATCACCTTATGATTGCACGTAAAATTCTCTCCCCCGGCACACACCCCTCTCCATTTTTGCGGTGGCGGGCCTATCCCGTCGTCGTTGAAGCTTTCCGATTCCGGCCAAATTCCTGAGTCGATTGACCCAATTATGACGTCAAGTTCACCGGAGAGATTTCGTTTGGGTTGTTGGAACCCCAGAAAGTCCCATGATCTTGTCGTTTTGGTTTTGAGTTCCTTGCTTTCGAAAACAGAGACCACGCCATCCATGGCGGCTAGTTGCTCTGCTTCACCTCCGGTGAGTTCCGCAACAAATCCATTAAAGCTTCTTCCATAGCTACGAATGTAAGAACCTTCTGTTACGGAAGAGGTTCCAATTACCGAGCGAAGAAGATTCAAATGGTGGGTCGATTCCGCCATTGCTCTGTTTTGGATTGCGCCCATGTAAACAATATGAGCTTTTCTTTCCGACCCATTTGCAGAGGTGAAAATGGCGGCTAAAAGGGCGGCGATGAAGGTAAACAATATGGGAAAATTGATGGCCGCCATTTTTAAGAGCTTCGGTGCACAGATGATTGAATTTAAAACGAAGGGAGGGAAGAATGTGAGGGAAACAGAGTGGCGCCGCCATGAATGGTAGGGAGATTAATGTTCCAGAAAGGATTGGTTAAGCGGCCATGGAAATGAATCGAAAAATAATGAATTTTTGCTTCCAAGTTTATAAATTAATGAATTTTTGTCCATAATTACACATTCGACCAACGATTTTTTTTTTTTTTTTTGACTTCATTACCACACCCCCGTTAACCGTAACCTGTCCTGATTCATCCTTATTTTCAACTCATTTGCAAAATATTACGTCATTATTCTTAATAATTAATATTAAGAATTTGGGCTTTCATCGGTCCAGTAAAGAAAAGGCTATTTGGGCTTTCCGGCCCAGTTAAGACAAGGCTTCAATAATAATGAAAAAAAAGATTCCGTTGCCGGGAATCGAACCCGGGTCTCCTGGGTGAAAGCCAGATATCCTAACCGCTGGACGACAACGGAATTATGATTGCAGTTGTTGAAATTTATTTTTTATCAAAATAAATAATCAATTCATATAAATAAAATATTATCAGATTAAAATCTTATTTAAAGTATATGTTATTATTTGATTCAGCAATTAACATAAATTTTACTGGTGGTTTAATCATTACAACAATCAGACTCTTAATCTTATCATTTGATCCCTCTAAATTAGTGTTGAATAAAATACAATTTTTGTTGAAATTTCTATTTAGGTTACTGTCACAACAAAATTATTCTTTTCATTCAAATTTTTAAACGGATAAGCTTCAAACCTTAATACTTACATTAAGTTTTTTCAGTAATTTTAGAACATCAGTCTTAATAAATGACAAAAACTTTCGACTTGTATTTAAGTTTGTAGCTTCAACATTTCACTCTTCTCCTAAACTTAACCACAAACAATTTCATTGATAGTTTTTGACAAACATTCTTGTTTCCTAAAGTTTTTTCACTCTCTCTCCATCAAATTCAAGTAATCTTTTTCAGTAATTTTATAAACAAATTTGGATTTGATTGCTCATTTTGGATCAATTTTACCCGACCCATAAAGAAATTCTCCATTTTGAATTTCATGATTAGTGGATTTTTCTTAAAAGGTTTTTATGTGTTTAATTTTTGCCCATAATAATACATATTTGGATGAAGAAATTTTGTAATTATTGTTTCCTCCAAGAATAGATTAAAAAAAAAATAGAGAAATAAAGAAAAATCTACTATATCATTGGTCAAATGCATAATGGATCCTCTACTTGTTTTGAAAGTTTATTTATTTATTTATTTATTTATTTTCTTATTTAAAACTTGTAATTGTTATTATTTTTTTTTAATAAACTAAGCTCTAAAATAGATATTAAGAACAAAAATATGCAAATGCATTCACTTATCTGATTACATTGCAGCTGATATGAACAGCCAGCCAGCCAGCAGAGTTGCTACAAATTTACATTTCTCACACTCAAATCCCCCACATACACACATATATAGGGAAAAAATTGAGGGCCCACCCAAAAATAGAAAGTAGGGCAGAGAAACAAACAAGAAAATGAAGGTGAAAAACAGGGGAACATCTTAAAACACAAACCCCTCTAGTTATCCCTCTAATTCAATATCATATCATGTATTGCCTTTTCTTTCTCTATCCCTATGGGATGGATTTTAAAAACCAAACAAATTGATCACATATTATCAGTTACCAGTAATATAAGGTGTGTGAGCCTGTAAACATTCTGTTCATTTACAATCAATTGGATTATACTGACCCATTTCCATGTCAGTGAGCCAAGTCCTCGCTACCGACGCCCACACTCGACTTATCGATCATACAAACGTTGTATTGATCATATACCCTTGCTCGATTCTCTGCCCACCACTGTTCTGCTTGCTTCTCTGTGAATCGCTTCCGACTGCAACAAAAAATAGTTGTGTTGTATAAATTCTGCACAATCTAAATATGATGCACAAATGATGCTATTGTTTGGAGTGTGAGATTGGAGTGATGGGCCACCATGTGACTTATCGTCTACACACAAACATGCTTTACAAAATTCAACTTCATTAAACAACAAGAATAAATGCTTGATCCATATTATTCTTATCTCACAATCTAACTTCCGATCATCAATAATGAGGGGAAAACATGGAAGTTTAAATCTGATGGTTACCAGCGATAGCCAATGAATTTCATTGACTTTTCCTCTCTAATGCCATGCATGAAATTTCATATTGATGATTTATTGTAATGGTGCTTGATTTTAATATAGCCTATCCTTAGTTGGTCGGATTGCTTCAAATACGCAATGAGACAACCTTCTCTCAAGCACAGCCAATTAATTTGTACTTCACTAAGTTATTAGAATGCATTCATTGTACTTTACTAAGTTATTACCCAGCCAGATAACCTAACCACTCAAACTCCAGGATAAAAAATTGGCTGTTGTGCAAAAGAATAAAGATGGGATCAAATGCATGTGCCTTCTTTTTTATAGTTGGATATGGAGTCGTATAAAATACTAGCTTCAAATCAACTTTTTACGAAGGATTAAGTCAAACGAGGTTGAAGAATTATACCTGAACCGCACTCGCTTGAGATCTTTGGCACCACCCTGAAGAGAGGTGAACGTGATATATACACCGGGCTCATCTTGCTCAACCCATTCAGCATCATGACGAGAATCACTTTCTTTAGCCTTGTTACCATTTCTAGTTGTTGAATCAGAATTGCCTTGTCTGTGGTCTGAATTACAGATACTAGCAGTGCAAGACACACTAGAAAGCAAGGGACTGTTTGATTCTATAATGTCGGCTTCTAGAGACATAGTTTGACCATTAGACCGATCAATCGATGGAGTAACCACATCATTGAAGGGAGGACTGGAGCCCAAGGAGGCAATAGAAGGTGATTTAATGTTGCGAGCTGCTCCAACTGGAAGTCTTTCTGCCATTTCCTTCAACTGTTGTAAACACAGGAAAAAAAAGTTTGCACCTTAGTAAAAATGATAAGAGTAAGAATAAGTCGGTATCTTTTATCTATCTGCTGAGAAAAGTTGAAAATTTTATCTGCCACCTGAAAGGAGTGCTAACAGAAAGTAAGAGACAATATCCAATAACTTGGATCTCAATCAGGATAGCGGCTACTTAAGCTACCATCAGATTGCCAGCCAAAAAGATTTCAAATTTATTTCTCCAATCCTCGGTATGGGCTTATAATCAATGATATAAATAAATTACCTTTGACCTAATAGTTTTAGTTCTTTGAATTAGCGAGTACAAAAGAAGACTTCTTTTTGCCCAAGGTAAAATGCCTAGACAAACCCTAACGGCAAAAGGTTAGGGCTTAGTGGTAAAAGAAGCTCAATTCATCAGTTAAATTTGAGATTTGTGCAAGAGGCTGTGGGTTCAAATCACGTTATCTTATGGTCACCTCCATCCAAACTACTAATATCACTCGGAGTTCTACACCATCCAAGTTACAAAGTGAGATAACAGTCCCCAGTTTCGAATTCTGTGAACATGAAGAGGACGTATTTAAGGATATATTAAATGAAGAGATAGAAGCCAAGACCGTATTCCAATGTTCAGTTACAAAAAAGGACATAATAGGTAGTCAAGATTCGTGATTTACTCTTACTACTACTTTTATGAAGGCACTTACGATACAAACTAATATGAGGGAGCTCAAGTAATTGACGTGCAAGATGTCCTATTTGCTGGGTAAGAAACAGAAATAGTAACAGATATGCATATATAACTCCACAAGTAGCAAACTATCACAAACAAGAATACAACTTACTTGGGCAGTAAGCGACTTGATTACTTCCTTTGCTGCATTGCACTTTGTCGCTTCTCCTGCAGCAAATGAAAGTGCCTCCTTCAATTGTTTGGTCGTTCTTTCCAACTCAACTTCTTGAAGTTGAGCTTTACGGGTAAGATTTTCAACCTGCGGAAAGAAAAATAATTGATAAGACCTAATGCTTTTCAGGACTGCTAAGTAAACTCGGTTTCCTTACAATATACAAAAAGGGACGATGTAGTAAAAGCATATCTGAAACTGAAACTGAGGACCTTGAAGAAGTTTAGTACAACAGTTCCATTTCTTAATCAAAAGGTTGTAGATCAACTTTTCTATAAATTGTTATAGATAAGAGACAGATTTCCATTGATAGAACTAAGGAAAAATAGAGGGAAGACAATGTTTCCACCCAGGCACCCCCAAGGAATTTCAGAAGAAGAATCCCATTCGGCATTAATAAAAAAGAAAATGGTAATTAGAAAAAATCTTGAGAGAGTACCAAGACAATCAAAGAAATTTCATAAGCTATGGTTTCTTCCCAATCATAAACTTTTTTATAAATTCATTTAGTTATATTTGAAAAAAAAAGGTTCCTGCAACAATTTGAAGGGAAAGTTATTAGTTAAATAAATAAGGTAATATTTGTATGCCCCTGAATACTGCATTATTTACTTGATATCGTATATTTTTTTCTGATGTAGAAACCAACGTGGTAAATTGGACATTTTGACAATGAAATCTCTAGTAAATCCACCATAAAGAATTATAATAAGGAATGAAATCTTGATTCTTCTACAACATCATCTATTGTATCATAGGAATCAAACTAATACCCTACTTCTCCCGAGCTTTGAAATGGCTACATCTCTATGGAAGAATTTGCGTGTCACAAGACACCTTTTGCTAAAACTATATATTAATTTAGCCTCTCAAGATCAGTTAATTTTCATATACCATTAAATGAAACACCAAAATAATAATCATGAGAAATCATATGATCAGCTCTATTCAAGAATCTCAGGAAAAAGCAGATGCTCTGTGTACCTGAGCTTTTAACTTAACAATCTCCTGGCTAAGATTATCGTTTGTTCTTTTAGCATCATCAACTGGAATCTTTGGTGAGGTAAGACCTCCAAGAGTTGGGGTAGGTGTTGTTGAACGAGGAGGACTTGCTCGCCTTGATATTGGGGATGTTGCTCTAGAGACAATTCTAGAACCAGGAACTGAAGCTGAAAAGAACTTTTTGGATGACCCAAAAACTGGATTAAATGGTCTAGAAAT